TGTGATCCTTGGTATGTGGAAATGTGACGCATTGGTTTAGGGAGTTGACATCACTGTGTCTAAGAAATCGAATTGTATCATAAGATCTTATACTGCATACATCCACGAGTGTCCAAAGGATTGTTGAATGCATTTCGACTGATCCTTGGGTATAACCGAAATATGTTTAATTGTTATTTTTACTTCTAATTTCTCCAACTGATCTCTGGATTTTTCCCTATTTTCTGTTTAAGCTTATTAATTCAGAACAAGAATAATTTGTTGTTTTCATTTCATTTCACTTTCGAAGGTGAACACTTTCGGCAAATTCATAGTGTAGCCATGGGGAGTCCATTAGGACCGTTATTAGCTGATGTATATATGTCACATACTGAACTAATGTCTCAAGATTTAATCACCAATGTCACACTCTATAGAAGGTATGTGGGTGATATTCTTTGTAATATGTGACACAGATGAGGATGCCAAGAGTTTGTTAAAAAGGCTTAATACCGTACAAGATCATATCAGTCTGACATGTGAGGAAGAAAAAGACCATCAACTTCCATTTCTTGATGTACTCTTGTGCCAGAGAGAGGATGGATCTATCAAACGATCAATATACAGGAAGCCTACTTGGACAGGATAGTATTTGAATTTCTACAGTTTTTGTCCGATGAAATATAAGAGAGGCTTAGTAAGATGCTTGTTCAATAGAATCCAACATATTTGTACATCTCATATGATGGATGATGAGAATAAATTTCTGACACACTCGAATGGAAAACGGTTATCCATTACAGTTTGTCAACCATTGTAAAAAGCAGCTGACCCCGAAGCCTATAGTTTCCTCGGTCCCGAAGAAAACATATTTCTTAAAGTACCATACAGAGAGGAAGCGAGTGGTATGATATTGAAGCAGGGATTAAAATCTGTTAACAGTAAAGTATACTATGCAGCTCAGCTTATTATTGTTGAGACGACAAAACACCAGCTTCACCTTAAACCTCAATCTAGCATAAATGATTACGTTACATCCCATCGTGTTTACCAATTTACACGTATGTGTAGGCACACATACATAGGGAGGAGTAATCGTTCAACGCAGACTAGGGTGGGTGAACACATCCCCAAATGGCTTGAAAAGCAGTTCAATACACAAACATTGATAAGTGTACGTGACAGACATCCATCGTCATCTATAGCAAAACATATCATCGAAATGAATCACAAGGTTAATACGAAAACAGCCTCCATGATATTATACAAGAATAATCAGGGGCACATACTGAAGTTTGCCGAAGCGTTAGCCATTCGTAAACTTAAGCCCCCGCTGTGCGTACGAAAACAATTTGTTGTTTTACTTAATTTGCCTTGGTAATCCTTATCTGATTATATTACCAAGACCAGTATGACAACCTTTTCATTTTCATTATATTTGACTCTTAATCCTTCTTTTCATTTCATGTATAAATCGAATTAACAAGTAAGTGTGTGATCAAATTGTTCGAAATGTATTGTGCGAATACATCACACATGTTTTTCAGATAATCTTCGTCTTCTAATAGCGTTATCCAAATTTATTAAACGGACTAATTGTTTCAAATATTATTTTCAATCATTTCTTTTTCCTCTTCTTCAGGCTCTATAGTTATATAAATCCATGAGAGAGTAAGTGAAATGCAATAGCCAAAATAAGACATGACGTACAATTATTACTAGATTGAAACAGTTAGCCAGTGTTATGAGTAAATAGAAGGAGATCAAATTGAATGGAATGGTGGAATAGTTATCAGTCTAGTGTGTTAATTGTGCAATGTAATCAATATTGACAGAACAATTACGGAGTGAGACAAAATCTTCAGAAAATGATTCATTTATATGCATATACTGGGACATGGATAAGTGTGTGTGTTCGTCTACTAAGCGTTGGATAATAATTGTGTAGTGATGAATTACCGATTAAGTAGATCAGTCGAAAAAAACATTCAATGCGACGAAGCGTTTTGTCGGCTTCTTAACCAACCAAAGCATTACTGACACAGAGAACCAAGGATAGATTACCTACGATGGCCAGTTCAATGTTCATTTATGAGTTCAACTGCTCCTGTGAAGCTAGCTACATAGACTGTACTCAGAGGGCCCTATGCACACGCGCTCGTGAACAGGTGCCATCTTGGTTGGGAAAGGAATGACAACAGTGCAATCCTCTCACACCTTGTAGATACCAAACATCAGATTAAGGTAGATCACGCCTTCTCTTTGATATGCCGTGTCCCTTACAATCTCCCTAAAGGTGCACGACTTCGCATCTTATCCATAGACGAAGCCATAGGGATCAACGCAAGAAAACTGGACCTATGTGTTCAAAAGAAATATGTACATCCACTTTATCTTGGCCCACAATAGGGTCGACACGTTCTTTATCAACTTTGCTACCACAAATTGCATATTTTAACCTCCCATCCCTTTCTTCTACATTTTCATTACTTTGATGAACACTCATTTTCTGATGTCATTAGTTTTACACCCTTCACATCACTATTACCTGTAGTCATTTTCAACCGTGACGTAATACTTCAAATTTGTTATTCTCTATTTCGTTATAGTATTCACATGATTTTCATCCCACCTGAATATAACTCATCACTACATAATCATTATTTGACCCGTAGTAAACAAATACATACACACATTCATGCTCACTAAATATATTGGTGATTGAAATGAAAATTTGGTTAGTAGTTGGACCTCGTAGCTCAGTCGGTAGACTATCGGGCCAGAAAACCGGTGGTCGTTGGTTATAATCCGGCCACGGTCTAAATTTTCATTTCACCTTCAGTCGATGCCCAGTATCAAAATGTATATAAACGAACCATTGTGTGTAGATTTTGTCTCATTTCGTAATTGTTCCTATAACACTGGCTAACTGTTTCAATATAGTAATAATTGTACATCATGTCTTATTTTGGCTATTGCACTTCACTTACTCTCTCATGGATTTATATACCTATAGAGTCTGAAGAAGTTATTGGAAACAATATTGTTGACTCGCTCAAATTATTCTTGTTCTGAATAATCTATGAGGATCTTTAGTTTATTAATAGTCGATACAAATTTCATTGAATGATAATACCTTCAAAGGTTTTACAAAAAAAGAAACTAGAATTATTTCAGCAAATCCCTCTGATTTCCACTATGATAAGAAGCGGCCTAAGTCGAAATCAACATCCTATGTCAACAGTGGGTAAGGTAGAAGTTTTCGATTTCAACCTTTGTTTCATGTTACAGTGTGGTTAGGAAAAAAGACGTTATTGGACAATTTCCTTTTACAGCTGACCAATCAGAATAGCTTATTTAAAGCTTGACCTAGCGATATTATATGTTGATGTATGTTCATGCATATAAAGAGTCGTGCTTACAATCAATAGCCAGTGCTTGTCTTCTAGATTTTTGGGGCTCAGTAAAGTACAGGGATCTGAAGGAGAACGGTCGCTTTTCGTATCCAGTCCAAGTTTCTCTGTGTTAATGGTACTCTCATATTTTGTATTGTTCTAGCAGTCTTTTCATACTACATTATGTATTAGTTGTTACGTAATTTTGTAACCATTTGTTGTTTGTATAAATTTTATGAACTACTAGAATTTTTTTACGTTATCCCATTTTTTAAAATGGCATTACACCTTCGCAGCTTGGATCATTATTATTATTATTATTATCTACTGCTTACCTTCTGAATATTTATGGACGAATGTTAAGCTTCGAATTCTGTGAAAATAGGATCTCTTCGTCACATTGGTCAGTTTTAAGAAGTGAAACCTCAGCTATGCGATTATCTTATAGATTGCTAACCCACTATATATGACATAAAGATGCAGTTCAATAGTTTCAGCACTCAACGTTTACTTTTATTAGGTTGTCGGATATAAATTCACTCCACTTCTTGAGGTTAGAGCAGTTGGATAGTATCACTGGTCGTTACATATATCTCAGAGCTTAGTGCATGGACTTACAAGTCGTTGATAAATTATATTACAAATAGGCGATGATAGGTTGTAGGTCTTCTTCTTTATGAGGTAAATATACAAAACCTTTGAACTCTTTCTCGTCTTTCTTTATGACTGGTATCCATATTATCTTTACTAGACTCTTGTATTGATTACCTGTCAGTTAGGTTTTTGGGGAGTTCAATGATTGCAAAGTATATACCACAAATCGACATCAAACAGGCAACACTGGACTCAGAAATACACTTCCACGATTCCATATAGGAAGGAACTTAAGACGGTCAGGTTTGGCAGTGAGCGCTTTATCAGTCAATTAATACCAAAGCGTACCATTATCCATCAATGGCATTGGCGAGTAGCTGCCTTCTGATAGACAGAATCAACGTGAAACATAGCACACAAGTTCATCGGTCTAAGAGAATAAGTAATTTAAAGACAAATGTTAGTGCGAATACTCAAGCCTTAGATGTTAGGGAATGAATGCATCTGAACCACTGTGACCCATATTACCAAGAGTCTTGAATCAATGGTTCCTATCATGTCGCGGACCCCAACCAGGTAGGCTACACCCCCTACACGGCTCAGACTGACAGTCTGGGACTTTATCGACCGATGGCATGTCTTGATCTGGTCACCCTGAGTCTTCTTCCAACCTTATCAAGCTTGATAGGAGGTGACTCGGCATGCGCAACAGACATCCAAGTCACCTCGGTCGCTAAAGGTTTACAACCTTATGAATCGATTTGTCTATCTTGTTTATTACTTTTCACCTGACCTCAACATGGCTCGCACGGTGATCCCATCAGACGCTAGCAATGATATGAAGACAAGTCTTGTCGAAACTCTGTGTGAGGGCTAACAATACTATCTGGCTGTCCAGACCTTGGTAGGAATGGGACTCGAAACTGTAACCAAGAGATTGAAAGTTAAGTGCATAGACCCTTAACCAAAGTTACATATGACGATGACACAATATACAATGATATGTGTAGGTAATACTGAAAACAAACTTACACCTTCATTAGTTGTCGGCGCCAAACGAACAAGTAATTCAACAGCTTTACGATATTCTTTATCTGATGAAATTTCAGTTGGTTCAATAATACGTTCTCTTAAGGGATGAAGAGTAGCATTTAATCGTTTTGCCATTCGTTCAAGTGTTGTTAATGAACTGATTAGTTCGGTTGGACGTAGTCCACTAATATGTCCATCATCATCTACACCCAATTTGTAAATAGCCTTGCCACCACCTTCATTAAGACGCCATTTCATTTGTGTAACAAGTTGTTCAAAACGATTCGGTGTTGGATCAACTAATTTCCGCTAAATAAAACAGAATGAATAAGGGCGAAAAATATTAACCAATTTGAAATAATTTTTAAGAAAATAAAAGTGAAGTTTTCAGCGGTTAGAACAAGAGTATTCAGGAAAATAAGCACTAATTTTCATTCAATCTAGATGTTTGTGGAGATTTAATAATTGATTTCAGGCTGGAATTCATCAATGACTGATATCACTTGGAGGAACATTGGAAACCTAGAAGCAATGGAGAGTTGTTTCATCCAATTAGTACGGGACTCCAGCAGTGCGCAACCATGAACCCACCCCACTAGGGTTCGAGCCCAGAACCTTCAGGTCCCGTGGCCAGCAAGCTACCATTGAGCTAGCCACTGGGTCGGAATCCAATGGTCCATATTTCCTACTTCTATCAGTTCACGACATAGTGCAACCTCCATCCATAATGAATTCCAGCCTGAAATCAACTAGTTGTTATAATTAATGCATAGTGAGTTTCTGTTTAACCATTACTGGGGCTGTACATCACAATTATTATTTACAACTGATGTAGACACTTCATACTGGGAAATCGAGCAAAGTAACTTCCTTTCAACGAATTTATTCTCAGGTAGTATATATATATATATATATATATATATACATTATATATATATATATATATATATATATATATATATATATATATATATATATATATATATATATATATATATATATAACAGACCAACTTATGACACAGCCATCGCTGTTGTTCTACCTAAAGTTTTCCCTCTGCCAATCAGTTATAAACGCGATTAGATCATATTGGAATCAGCTAACGATGATGTAGGTATATCAAACAGTGCCACTTTTTTTGGACTTTAACCACGCTTTAGTGTGGTTTATCTAGCATTTTTTTCCGTCAGAGAAGTTGTTGTCTTGACATCAAAAAATTAGTTGCACGTGGTATTTTAACTGAATATCAAGTTCAGCTTGTCCTAGAAAAGCTTTGACACAGAGGACTCCTTGGCAAATTTCGAATACGCAGATGACATAGTTCTGTCAAGTGAAGTTGACAAGATTTGTAGTCTATTGGACACTGAGTGGTGATTTAGGATGCGTTTCTCACCACCCAAATGCAAATTAATGCTTCAGAAAACGGTTTCGTTGGTCTTTTGTCTAACAATAGTGAGTGAACCGCTTTAGTACACTGACCACTTCACTTACCTGGGAAGTAGGATCAGTCCCAATGGGTCAACAGCCAGCAAAATCTCTGCATGCATAAAGAAGATTCAGTTGGCTTTCGACGACTTATATTATTTGTGGTGTCACCACGATATGCGTTCGCCTACTAAGGGTTTAGTGTACCGCTGTGCTATTCGTTTTGCTTTAGTACACAGTTGTGAAACGTAGCCATTAAATGGAGAGGAAGTGAGAAGGCTTCAGGTGCTTAACCACCGCTACTTTAGCAGCATATCCAGTATGTCGTGGTGTTACGTCAGTAACGCAGAAGCCAGGTGTAGAGTTTTAAGCGGAAGAGGTAAGTCAGTTGTTGATATAGTGAGGCTTAATTGACTCAGATGACTGGAATATATGCGTTAAACGTGCCTAGTCACCGCCTGCCCCGTTTCATATTCGACGAACAAAGATTCAGTAATTAATCTCTCTCTCCACCTAGCTATATTAGACTTAAGTACAGTGGTTTTGTCCCATCCTATTGTGTGGTTGTGTGTTAATGAATGTAATGCAATGGCTGAGTGTTTTTCTAGGTTATTGATCTTATTGGGGTCTGCCGTTCTATGTTTAGCTAAATTCCTATGTTCTGTTAATCTAACTGACCCCGACCGGCTAGTTTGACCTATGTATTTGACTTCACAGTCATTACATGGAATTTGGTAGATTATATTATTTTGCTTAATTGGTTCTATCGGATCTTTTAGCCGACAAAGCTTACCTCTAAGTGAGTTTGTTGGTTTAAATGCCACCCTAATTCCAACCTTGTTGAGAATCCTACGTATGGTTTCTGATGTTCCTTCCTTGTATGGTATCACAATAGAGGTGTTGATTTCCTTTCTACTTATGTTGTCACTATTATTTGTATTTGTATTAGTGTTATTATTTTGCTTCTTATGCGTCCGTGTGAATTTCTTAATAAAATGATGGGGATAATTATTAGTTATTAACGCTTCTTTTATGTGTTTCAATTCCTTATTTAAGTCCTTACAATGACTAGTGAGTTTCTCAGCTCTGTTATTTAGACATTTGACTAAACCCGCTTTAACTGACACTGGATGAGATGACTTGAAGTCTAGATACCTGTTAGAATGTGTTGGTTTTCTGTAGACGGTAGTATCTAAACCACCATCTATCCTTCGTTTTATTCTGCAATCCAACATAGGTAATTCTCCTTGTTCATTTTCTACTTCGTAGTGAATTGGATTGCGTTAACTACTGAGTTTATGTGTGTCAAGAAACTGTCGATATGTTCCGATTTCAACACTGTAAATGTGTCATCTACATATCGCCACCATATCTTAGGTGTCGGATTATATGTTCGTAAAGCCATATCTTCCCAACTATCCATAAATATATCTGCTACTATAGGGGATATTGGTGATCCCATTGCTACTCCTTCTGTTTGTCTATAATCTTTCCCTGAAACTTGAAGACTGTCGAGGTTAAGCATAACTGCACTCCTAACATGATTTCACCAACCGATGCCTTGGTTCTTTGAGTAAGTTGTGAGTCAGTATCTAGTTGATTTCTGACTGCCTCCAGTGCCATATTGATTGGTATTTTAGTATAAAGACTTGTTACGTCAAAACTAACCATTTTTTCATCCTCTTCTATGTGCAGGTCATTAAGTTTTTGTTTCAACTCGTAAGAATTTACTAGTCTAGAGTTGGAACGGTCTCTAACAGGACGTAATACTGATGCTAAATACTTTGATATCTCATATGTTGGTGTGTTCCGGAAGTCAACTATCGGCCTAATGGGATAACCTGCTTTATGAACCTTAATAGTACCGTAAATTCTGCTAGGATTATTAGTTTTTGGCATTAAAGTAAACCATTCGGACTTACCTAGAGATGGCTTCAGTCGGCGTATCAGATCTGTTGTAGATTTCTTAATTTTATTCATGACAGTATCTATAGGTTTCTTAATCTCTTCATATGGCCCTGTTTGGATATGTTCATCCATTTTTTTAAGATAATCCGATTTGTCCATAACTACTGTTGAGTTACCTTTGTCAGATTTAGCAATTACTATACTATTATCCTTTCGTAGATTGTTTAAAGCTGAATTTTCCAGTTTCGTTAAGTTTCGCTGTGTCTTCTTTTGTTTTTTAAGTGCTAATGCACACTGCGCTCTAACCTGTTCAGCAGTTGTCACATCCACCGATCTTATTGGGGTCTGCCGTTCTATGTTTAGCTAAATTCCTATGTTCTGTTAATCTAACTGTTTATTGGGGTCTGCCGTGGATGTGACAACCCGTTGCATATTGTTAGTTGAAGTAGGTTCAGACCGGAAAACGATTAAAGCGAGTGAAACTAAGGAATAGTATCAGTTTCTAAAGTGTTTGAGTGCTGTTCTGAGTCACGTGGCAACGTAAAATTTCCAGTTCCGGTCCCCGTAACAACCAAAACCATTAGTTGGAGACTCTACGTGACTTGGCTCAGAGCCGATGAACGCCACAGATGTATCTACACGCCATTTTCATTTTAATCCTTATACTGAGTTTTAGTATTCTTTTGTACCTTCTCCTGTTTTTACGGCTTTCCACCACTTTCGACTAGTTTCTCCATTATTTCTCGATCTTTCAGCGTGGTGCATTCCCATTTGATAAGTTGATATGATGTGTGGCAACCTGGACGGTTGAGCAGTGATGGCAGGTCCCATATTGATATCAACTGAGTGGAGACTAGCTGTCGAACTTTCCGAGAGTATTGAACATTGGGAAAGCCTGCAAAATGCCACGAAAGTGGTTAGTACAACTTTTTACAGCTTTGACGAACACCTGTTTAGTGAACACAAGGTCTCTATTCAAGTTCACTTTAACTTCTTCATGCTTTTAAGTCGATCTCAGCAGACAGATAGTATAAGGGTGTGCAAACAACCTGGAAAACTGATTCACGAGAGGTAGGTCGAAGTTTTTTTGGGGCATGGATACGTTGATCACGTGTTCAACCTCTATCACATTACTGAACACCGTCACGCGTGTTGTAGGCTGCTAATCATAACCATTAGGGCTGACTTCGATTGGTTAGGCCAGTGTGCTTTGGAAATACCTGTTAATTGGTGTCCATGGCGAGTTTAACAACCTCCTAAAAGTCCCATACAATAGCAATTTATAGTGAGCGCATACAATTACCCTTGTCCACTGTTCCGAACTGCTACTGAAATTGAAGAGGACTGACCAATTTTATAATTTCTCTTTAATTTTTACATCCATAACATTCATCAAAATAGGTGAAACTGTGGCTTATTGGTCTAGACATCCGACTACCAACCTATGGGTTACGGGTTAGAAGCCCACTCACCCATCGAGGTCTGAGCAGTCAAGTAGTATCACTCGCCGTCATAATAGTTGTAGCTTATTGCCTACTCCACGAGCGTGGACAAGGTTACTGAGTGGATATGAACTTTTTCAAGACAGATGTAGGTGTGCTTCTACGTTAGAAACTTCTCCTCTGGTTATGCGGACGATATCATATTGTGTAGGTGTGGAGAATTTTTCGCTACGTCTAAGTTATTTGCTTACACTCATGAGTTTATTACCATACTGTTTGGTTTTATAAGTTCCCTTTAAGGAAGAAATGTTTGAAAGGCACTTTCATCATTAGATAAGTACAGTTAGTCGTAAGAGGCGACATATATATATATATATATATATATATATATATATATATATATATATATATATATATATATCGAGGAAACGAGTCCTCTCTAGCCGGCGTTCGGACAACCAAACCTCGAAACAGCACCCCACAAAAGGCCACATGCCACAGACCTCAAGCAGATGTTCCACAGGCTCTGACGTTGCACAAATCCTTTCCTCTTTCAGGTTCCACAAGAAAAAATAACCTTTCCCGGTGTGGGCAGCCGGGAATGGTCAACCCCTTTCATAAAGCTGTCAGCACTCTACCTCCTGCAGTTTTACCCACTAGCCTTCACGTTTCTCAGTCAAGTATTTTACACCATCTCTAATTTCTCCCAGCTCTGCAGCTTCCAACGACGATCTGAGTGCATGGAATAGCATCCCTGGTCTCCTGAAACTGCAGTTGAACCACACATTGGAGATTTCCATGTCCTCACCCTCCGTCAAGTTGACCAAGAAACTTCGCTAACCGAAACTCTTACATTTCGGGTCATGGGTGTGTGCCGTGTTCGCGAGACACGCATACGGGACCCAAGTGTGGTTATTCACTTAGCCTCATCTGATCAACATAGTGAATCCGCGAAACTCACCACTCAAGTTTCTGGAGATTCGATGCTACTTCTAGCAGTTTTGCAGACGTAGGCATCGCACTGAGCACTAGGGGAGAAGGTTCTCTAGTCGACTGGATCCCAGCTGACGGTTGCGTATGCTGTATTCGACTAAACGGACCAGTGAGGACAAAAAGGAATGGTGAAACCCGCTATTGTCTCTTTTTAATTCCTGCTTACGCACCCACTGATTGGAGTTCAGATGAAGTGAAGGATGAGTTCTACCGAAAACTGTCCAGCCTCCTACTGAAAGTCAAGCGTTCAGAAGCCTGCTTAAACTTTAGGTTACCGAAAATTCTCTACTCAATACATTTCATCTAATTATTTCCTTTCAATTTGCTTTAATCCTTTAAATATGTCTCTTAAACGTATCTTGTACTGTTGCACACTTTTAAAGTGTTTTCAAACTGCGATTTTTCAAGCTAACAAAAAAAAACTATCCACCGGTAGGAGATGGGCTTGTAAATGCACAGAGATGTAGTACATCACCATTCTTTGGATAACTATATCGAATCGCGGATTTTGGAACTGGCTCAATAAACTACCATCACAAAAATTACGCTCGATTTTCTATTTATTCACCAGTCAAAACCAGATGCTAATGTAATACCAGATACCTGTTTCACATCGTGGCTTTTATCACTGTTATTATTAACATTATTCAAATACAATGACTATTTCGCTTAGAGATATCGTACAGGGAATGAATTTGTTGAACTATTACATGCTGAGAATTTCATACGGTAACACGTGTTATCTTGAATAAAGCAATTATAATAACTTATTATCTTTGGCAGACTAACTCAGATAGCACTTACAGAATCCCGGCCAAATGAACAGATAATGACGATCGTCTGCTAAAACTGTGCTCAGAAAACCATCTATTTCTAGTCAGCATAAACTTCAGACATAAAAAGAGACACTTTCTAACGTGGCATCCACCGAGCTCAACTCAGCAGCGGACACAGATAAACCACAGTCTCATCAATTATCGCTGGAGAGGGTCAGTGGAAGACTCCCACTCTTTGTGAAGCACGTGTCTGGACAGCGACTATTTGTTGGTTTGAGCTCGTATACGCCTGTGCCCAGATGGGCATAAGAAAACCATAGCAACAAGACCACTGCGAGCACAGCTACACAATGAGAGCACTAAGGTTGCTTTCAATGAGAGATTGGCTCGACAGTTATTGGAACAGGACAATATCACTGATCCCAAACAAGCTTGGCGCCATCTCCAGTCCGCTGTAAGAATAGCGTTGAGGACCGTAGCCGACTCTTAAAGAGTGGTTAAAAAGAGCCGGTGGATATCAGCAGACTCTTCTGAGTTAATGCATGCACCCGAAAGCATCCCTGGAGGCTCTGAGTGCAATGAAGAGAGAATCCAACCCAAACGTAGACTGAGAAAAAGTCTACGCAATGACCACGAACAGCAGCGAAGGTTAGAGAGGTGGAAAGTACAGCGGCGACAGGTAATGGCAGATAGTCATTTAGACTTAGGAAAGAACCTGCAGTGAAACAGTCAATGGTTATTGAACCGATAGAGGAGAAGGATAGGTCTTTGATTCACACGCAAGGGAGACAATTGGGACGATAGGCGAACATTTTGAGGAAGAGTTTAACTGGCCGCCACCTACTATTCCGTCGCTCACTATCCAGTCGAAGCCAGAATGAAACACCAAGATAGGACTCAAAACATTTACAAAAGCCGAAAAAGCTGTAGGTAACCTGAAATGTGGTAGAGCAGTACGGCCAGACGGATTAGTACCAGATGTATTTAAAGACGGTGGTCGAGTTTTTACAGCAAAGTTAACTGAAGTCCTGACTGGCGCAAAAGAGTCAGATACGATCTTCTCTGACTGGTCTCAATCACTGATTATTCCAGTATTCAAGAAGGGCGAGAAGGCCCCTTGGTGCAATCTACTCTATTTTACTGAATGACTGTGAAGCGTGGTCATTCAAGGTAGAAGATATGAGAAGTCTTCAGGTGTTTAACCACCGTTGCTTTTGCAGCATAGGCCGTGTCGTTATGTCACCACACCAGTAACGCAAGTCAGGCATAAGGTTTTTGGGAGGAGAGGGAAATCGGTTAAGGTGGTTGTAAACATTCATCGACCCAGATGGCTGGTTGGGAAATGTGTTACGTAGGTCTAGCAGCCGTCTGCCTCGTGACACAATGTTGACCAAAGTAGTCTCAGGCTGGAAGAAAGTTCGGGGCGGCTAGATTAAAATATAGCACCAATGCATGAAGTCGTTGACTGTTTGTATAAACCATGTAAGGTGACGCAGACTAGTTGGTTGAAGTCCATGGGACAGGAGAAACCAGTGGTTGGAGACTGTAGGTGGTATGGTTCAGAATCGATGTTAGTGCCACAGATGTATTCACAATTTATCTTCGTTTTCTCAGTCTTCCTCTTTCTCTTTTATTACCCTTGGGCGATTTTTCTTTCTAAATGTATCTTTCATCTTACTCCTTTGTTACTTGTGTTGATATGCGGCGTGGGAACTTGCACCGTTGTTCAGTAATGTCTCATTCTATGTTGATAATGATTGATTGATATTAAAGTAGACAAAGTTGTGTGAGAGAATAAAAAATCTGAAGATGAAGATCAGTGCGAATATTCGCTTTTTAGATGTCAAGGAAAAGATGCATCTTTGCCACTGTGACCGATTTTCAGTCATGTCACCAAGAGTCCTCAACCACTCATTTTTATCGTCTCCTGGACCGCAGCCAGGTAGTCCACACATCCCCACACGGCTCACACCTATAGTCAGAGACTTCATCGACTGGTGCAACGTCTTGGTCTGGCCATCCTCAACCCTCTTCCAACTTCACCCAACATGGCAAGTCGGGGTAGGAGGTAGCTCGGAATGTGCAATTCATGTCCAAGCCATCTCAGTCGATGAAGGTTCATAACCTTATCAACCAACTTGTCTGTCTTTCCTAGTACCCTTTGTCTGACCTCAACACTGCCCACACGGTGATTCTAACCAACACGGGTAATGCTACGAAGACACTTATGATCAAACACCTGTAACCGCTTCATGGCTTCAGCCATTAACGGCCATGAGTCAGCCAAGCAACAAGACAGAACGGACTGGAGCGCAGTATACTCGTCCTTTGACATAGTCGAATATATTGCCAGTCGGCGCCACAGATGACGCATGTTGGCTAATCAGGGACTGGTCTTCTGCATCCGACATGAGATCTCGTCTGCAACCAACCCGTTTGGGATGATGCAACTCTCCAAGTAAGTGAAGTGGTCGACACATCCTAACACTTCACCCCTCTATCATTAAACCGGGAGTACTTGCAGTAGACCAGTCGTACAGCATCGTCTTACATTTGATAGGTGCGGGCAAAATCCATGCTAAAAATGCTCAGATTTATGCTCAATGTGTTCTGTGAACCCAGGATTTTGTTAGCGTCTTTAGCTAGCGGGAGAATATTGTCTGCATACTACCAGTCAATCGGATGGCCTCCAGGGAGTAGATCAATCTCTTTAGAGTCAGACGTACTTTAGGTTATTGCTACCAACACTTCTGTAACCAAATTAAGTAGGAACGGTCACAGTGGGCATTCGTGTCATCAATTCCGATGACAACTCATAATAACCCCCTACAACTGCTTTTCAAGGAACGATTAGATCAACGAAGTTTGTTGCCACCATCCTACGGTAGATTAACGAGATACCTTGTGTTAGACTACCGTACCTTAATTAACAACTTGAGCACTTATCTGTCTTGTTTATTCCTCCATTACAGAAATGACCATCTAGAAAGACCACCTAAAAGTCCAAAGACCTCAATCAAACTATCTACGCTTGAAAATCATTTTCTCACACCACTGGACTTATTTGTCAGAGCATGCTGTTTCTGCACCTAATGAGAAAACTTTTAGAGCAAGATTTGATCTCAGTAGTAATCAAGATAGCAGGAATGAATAATAAGTCACATAACTTCCTATTCACAATGTCGAAGGTGAATATTACTATTCACATAAAGATAAGATCAGGATGCAACAGCATAACTATAATACAGAGTGGTATTGCTAACCGCACTATGCTTCAGTAGCAAGAAAACTACAGTAGCATAAGCAACCCTAGGTGGATGGTAGCAAGGTTGACTTAATACTAATGGAAGGATATGTAAGGGTGTACTCAGGTCCATTAGTCATTAAGAATAATGCCTTGATAAAATTGTTGGGGTTTTCATAAAATTAGAGAAGGATTAAATTTCATGTATTATTATATCACTGGCCTACTGTCCTTAACTCTGAAGACTGGGTCACTAGTTAACGGCTAGGGAAAGTTAACCATTTCATTTTAAAGTTTATTTTTTGCTGAGTTATTAGATGTGTGGCTGATTACATTGTTTATAAATATATTTACTTACTTTGTACTCAATATTACCCTCCTCGACTTCTGGAGGAAGCATATACGGCATTTTCGTAGAAACATTTTTGTTGTTAGGAGCAGCACTCAGCTTACAGAATGGGTGATTACTGTCTACACCAGAATCCATGGTTTTATTCTTTTTGGTGCAATCTCTGAAACTTTTACGCTGCTGGGAGTCATTATGAAAGCGATTCGGTATTGAGAAAGACTTAGTGAGTTTTCCACCTAACTTGGTCTTCGATGTTTCATTCTCGGTTGAAAAATACAGAGAAAGCTCATCCATTCCCGCATGTAGAAGATGAACTAGAAAGCTTTAGCAACAGTGAAATTGAGTCTCTTCAAGGTCAAAAATAGATCCAATATCCAATATTGATAGTGAGAACGTAGAAAACTGGTAGTTTTTGATCTCTCGCGTCTAGTTCTTAGGGCTTGGTTCGAGTTGTTCGGTTCACTCCTGCAGTGGATAAGGAAATCCCCTCTGCTTTCTTGCTTTTAGCTTCGGTGAGGTGGATGTTTTGTGGGTTGTAATTTGTAGAGTGATTGGGGAGCTACGGGTTGCTGGGAAGTTTAGGGAACTACAGTGACTCCTGTCTGTGTAGGTACCTGAAAGGGAATAGTAAGGTAGTGGCAAGAGAAGAAGAAAAAAGAAAAAGGAGAAGGAAAAATAACAATAATAGGGGAAGAGAGAAGGGAAAAGGAGGGAAGGAGAAGAAAAGGGGAGTGAAAAGGAGAGATAAGAAAGAAATAAAAGTATTTGGGAATCGCGCGAGTGGTCGCGTGGGTTTGAATTAGTAGAATTAGTAGGTAAGGAGGGGGAAAGTGGGTGGTGGTTACTAGGGCGTTGGGGGCTAGTGAGGTTGGTGACTACCTGAGTACTTCCATGGTAGTCCATGCGAGGTGACATAACTGTCTAATCGCCTCTCGAATGAGTCGACTGAGGGAGCTATAACGATATGTCGCGGTAAGGCATTCCATAAAGCACATACTCTTAGGGAGAAAAATTTGGACCTGAGTATGGTGTTGGCTCTCTGGTGTGCTATCTTAATGGGGTTTCTCCGTGAAGACCATCGAGTTGCAGGCAAAATTGATTTGTTTGCATGGTCTGCCTGATGGGCGATCTTGTATGCCATAATAAGGTCACCCCTTTTCCTGCGATAACCCAAGGTAAATAGGTTTAGGTGTTTAAGTCTTTCAGGATACGTTTTTCCCTTTAGCCCAACAACAGATTTTGTTGCAGTTCTTTGTATTCTTTCAAGGAGATTAGAGTCTCTCTTGAGTGTTGGAGGAGCCACCGTATTGAAGACCTCTAATGCGGCTACACGTAGGATTTGAAAATGGTGAGGAAGAGTTCGGGAGTGAGGGCGCCAAGCTGTCTACGCAAAAGTGTAGAATGGCGTTCGTCCTGGTTGTCATACCTTTGTAGTTGGAGCTGGTGTCCAAGGTGTCGGAGAAGTTGAGCCCCAAATCTTTCTCCATGGACACTCTGGTGATAGCACGGTTGCTCAACATGTACTGGAAGTCGGTCGTACTTGCTTCATTTTTACTGATGTGCATTACTTTGCACTTTTCCAGGTTGAAGCTCAGGCCATTTTCCGACGACCAGAGCTCGAGTTGCTGCAAGTCCTTTTGTAGCGCTGTACAACCAGCTTCTTCGTTTACCACCCTCCAAATTTTTATATCGTCAGCGAAGAGGAGGATGGGTGAGGATATTTTATCTGGCAGATCGTTGACAAACAGGAGGAACAGAAGCGGTCCTAGGATTGCTCCTTGGGATACTCCTGACGTCGAGGGTCTCCACTCCGACCTTATTCTGTTCACTTTAGTGCAGAACTGCCTCCCTTCCAGGTACTCCTTGAACCAAGAGAGTAGGGGTCCACTTATACCAGCTGACATGATCTTGTGAAGCAGTACTGTGGGTGGGACACTGTCAAATGCTTTGGCTAGGTCGAGAAATACAACATGTACCGGTTTTCTTATCCCAGCTTTGTGTCCAGTCGTCCCAGGCGGTTAGTAAGTTGGTGGCACATGAGCGACCACTCCGAAAGCCATGCTGAGCAGTATGGACAGTGTTTTCCCATTGAGGAATTCCCAGATGGTGTCAGCTACCAGGCTTTCCAACACTTTCGACACAATAGGGAGTAGAGCAATTGGCCTGTAGCTGCCAGGGCTTTTTCTGTCTCCTCCCTTGAAGATGGGTGACAAGATGGCTCTCTTCCATTCTTTAGGGAGTTTGCACGAGTCTATTGAGTGCTCAAAGAGGTTGCGAAGTGGTTTAGTAAGCACCTCGGCGCAGTTTTTCAGAACCACTGGTTTTAGGTTATCGCAGCCAGGGGACTTGCCTGGACGTAGCCTAGATAGCTTCTCGAACACTTTTTTTCTGTAATAGAGACGTGACAGAGGTATTCGTTATTTACGACCTGGTCGGTGTCGTAGCGAGTCGGTGTGGATCTTGTGTCAGTGCTGAGTTGGGCTTGGAAGTGTGAGCTCAAAAGCTCGGCAATCTCTAGACTGCTAGTACACTCCCGTCATGGCCTGTGACAAGATTCACTCCCTTACTGGTCGACTTTCTTCTCACATGAAGCGGTACAGGGTTTTGGGATTGCTTTGTAACCTCGCTGCCAAGTTTGTTTGTAGGAAAATCTGTCGCTACGCACTCTAATGTTACGGCGGTTGCGAATCCTTTTGTAGTTCAAGAAGTCAGACTCCCTGCGTGATGCACCCCACTTGAACCAAGCCTGCTTCTTGCTCTGGATAAGCCTCCCTGTCCCACGCTTTAACCATGAGGTTCTCACTGATTGTCTGTGTGTTACTTCTGGTACACTGTGACTGATGGCCCCAGTGATTATTTTCTTCACCTCCAACCAGTGTTCATCTATTGTGAGATGAATCCAGTCTACCGGCCATGATGCATTCATGAGATGGTCCCTCATGGTCTCATAGTTGGCCTTGCTGTAGCAAGGGAAGGTGTTGGGCGTCTCCAGTTGCAGAGCCGCCCTGTTAATCATGGAGAAGGTGATTACAGCGTGGTCACTGAGGCCAAGGGGAGGTTGGATGCAAACGTCCTCAATGAGAAGTTCATCGTTCGTCAGAACGTAGTCAAGGCGCGATGCGTTTCCGTTAGGTCCCCAGCGTGTAGCATCACCCACTTTCTCTGAGAGGCCAGCAGTCTTAATTGCATCCTTCAGCTTCTGATTGAAGGATCTGATGCGTCTCCCTTCCGTCTCGAAGAGGATGGACGGGGTGTTGAAGTCGCCGGCAATGACTACGGAATCGTAATTTGCAGAGGAAGTCGTTAAGATCGCCTTGATGACCATTTCCTTGTGTGTAGGGGAGCTGGCGGGGGACCGATGTATGACTCCGAGCAGGTATTTGGTACAGTGGGGAGTGAAGTAGCACCATGGAGATTCTGGGAGCTGGGTTAAGGCGGTGTCGCTAACCACCCTTGCCTTTAAACGGGAGTTTACGTAGAGAGCCACTCCCCTTCCTGCCCTGTGCTCCCTGTCCCTGCGGAAGAGTTCCATGCCAGTAACATGCACCTCTTCGTCGGAGATGTCCGGCGAGAGCCAGGATTCGGTGGTGAATATGACGTCGGAGTGCTGATGTGCACGCAGTGTCCTCATTCCCGCTACCTTCCCTCTTAGCCCCCTAACGTTGCTGTGCATACATGTTAGAGTGTGCCTGGTGAGAGGGGAGAGCTGGTTGTGTATTTTCGCGGGACGAGGGCATACGTGGTTGGGTCTAGCGTCGCCAGTCCTCATAAAGTTGGCATTGTTCCGTTTTTGTGTGGTTTGTTTTGAACTTGGGTGGGGGCTGTAGCAGTGATGGCTTCTTTACCTGATGTATCTAACCCACTGGTCAGCGTCTGTGTGACGACCACTGACTCCAGAGATCTTGGTGGTTGCCGTCTCTCCTCTTGCCTTGTGGGTCTAGGCTTACTTTCACGCATACGTATTGAGCCACCCATGCGATCTTTCGTATCATACCATGCGTGTGGAACGTCTGTGAGGGAGGCATATGGGTCGAACTGGACGGCTAGTAGTCTGGGATTAGGTATGGACTTCGGGTGCGCTGGCCTCGGCAGTTTACTGGCGCTGTTGGCCGGTATACTGTCGAGAACAACTTTGGTTGAGGGCCATTACCATTGTCGAACGTCGTGAAAGTACCGATCTTTAACCGAGCGGTCACTTCGCGATTATGAAATCCCATGTACAACTATAGTGTTGTTTCTGTTGGGATTTCCAACCTCTGACTTTCGCTCCTCCTCTCTTATTGACCGTGGCTTGTCAGGCCTGGCCCGAATTTTACAGGCATTAATGAGTGATCCAAGTTTACCGCCTGCAGAACACTCACCATCATTAGTATGAGTAGAAGAAGCTTGTGATTTTTGAGCTCTTTTCTTGGTCTTGAGGCTCGAGCTTTTCGTTCGGTTATGCTCCTTCGATGGTCACAGAAGTCCTTATGACTTGGAGGCAGTGAATGCCCATTAAAAAGTTTCATTCTTGCAAATTGTCGCTTGGTTTGCTTGGAGGGGCGACGGAGCTTCTGATAGGAAAAAATAACTTTTTACAAGTCTTGTTTTTGTAAGCACCTGCAAGTGAGCATTAGGCGTTACTTAAAGTGCTAGAAATAGGGTGAATGAGGAGCGAAAAGCACTAATGGAAAAACTGGTGTTGTTGGTGAGAGTATAGGTCTTTTTGAAAATACTGGGGTCGGAGAATATGGGCGTGGATAAACATACCCTTAGGTGCCATCGGCGAATGCTTTTAGCAGGCCGGGTGTTTGAAGAAGTCAGCATATATAACCAGGGCTACTTCCGGCAGAGCGTTCGTCAAAGTGCATATCCTATTTCAGAGGTTTGATCCCACCGTCGTCTTTGCCCTACGATGGGTTATGTGAGTAGGATTTCTGCAAGACTGCCGGTTTGGGGTGGTAATGATAGCCTATTTGGGTGGTCCACTCGGTGAATGGTCTCGTAGGCTGCTATCTGGTCGCCCCTTTTCCTTCGGTAGCCTAATGTGAATAAGTTGGGCTAAGATGCTGCGCATGTGTTTTGCCTGTTATTCCGGCGACCGACCTTGTCACCCTTCTCAGTCCCTCCTTAAGAGTATTAGTATCTCACCTTAGTACAGGTGGGGCTATCATATTGAGTGCCTCTAGTTGTGGTTTCACATAGGTTTTAAATCCCGTGAAGAACAGTTCTGAGTTCTGTATTCCAAGCTGCTGTTTTGGGAAGCAGATAATAGCGTTCGTTCCTGCTGCTGTTCCCGCATAGTTGTCACCAGTATCCAGTGTGCCGGAGAAGTTTAGTCCTAGGTCCTTTCCTGTGGATACCCTGCCAATTGCTCGCTTGTTGACGATATGGCTGGTTTTCATAGTTTCTGATGTGCAAAGATACATCACGCTGCACTTCTTTAGGTTCGAGCCTGATCCGTTTCGATGGCCAGAACTCCAGCTTCAGGAGTTCGTTATGCAGCATCCTAAGATCCCTTTCCTAATTTGCTGTTCTCTATATTTTGGTTTCGTCGTCAGACAGGAGGACAACGGAGGAGATTTTAGCGGAAAGATCACTGACCAGCCGCAAAAATAGGAGTAGCCTATGGCCCACCCCTTGATAACCTCCCGTTCCCGCCTCCCCTAGGTCGATTGAATTCTGCTTGCCTTAGTACAGAATTCTCTGTTCGTTGGATGTGCTTCAAACCATGCCAAGAGTTTTTGGTGATACCCATCTTTGCAAGTTTGGTGAGCATGGTTTAGTGTGGGACACAATCGAAAGCT